TCCTTCACTTTCTCTGCATGTTTCAGGATCTAAGATCGCAAGACCTCGCTCCTTTGCTGTGCAAAGTTACCCGTGGCTGCATTGAACGGGCAGCCGACTCTTGAGTCTGCCTCTGGGCTGTGTTCCCCACTGCAGATCTGACTTCTTTCTCTTTTCCCTTTGATTTGTTTGCTTTGGGGGCATACCTAGCAGTGCTTCAGACTAACTCCCGGCTCTGTACTCCTGCCAGGGCTCTGGGGACCATACGGAATGCAGGGGAGTAAGCCCAGGTAGGCACCTTGCAAGACAAGCACCTTACCCACTGTACTCTCACGCCAGCCCAAACCTGGTTTCTTTTGTGCTGCCCTCTCAAAGACAGTAGCCCACAGAATGAGCTACTCCTCAGGGTTACATTCAGGGTTTCTCATGGGCCTGCCCATAGTTGCACTGGCCGTGCTGTCCACTCGTCCATTTATGCTTTAGAGCCATTACTGACTCATGAATTTATGGTCTTAACAGCCTTGCACAGTGGTCTTCACAACGGTCTTAACAGCCACCTTGACAACTTTGTTTGTCTGTGGGGCTTACACCTGATGGTTCTCAAAGCTTCCTTCTCCTGGCTCTGCACTCAGGGATCGCTCCTGGCTGGGCACAGGGGTCCATCTCGGGTGCCGGGATAGAACCCAGGTCAGCCAAAGGCAAGGGAAGCCATCCTATTCACAGTATTATTACTCTGACCCCAAAACCACAGTTTTCAATCTGCTCTTTCCCAGGACGGTGCTCCTACTATGAACCCTTGGGGGGAAATTCTTTGCGGGGTAGGAATCTTACTCTGGAAAACATCACATATTTTCTCTGGTCCATTCTCCTTCAGAACATTCCTTCTTTGTTAAACTGAGTTTCGGAATATCTTGTCTCAAATCTAGCACCACCATTTTTACGATATAATGATCAACAAACCAATTCATTGCATCCAATAGCTATCACTGTCACTTGCATGAAGTTATTCATTGATTTGTTCAAGCGGGCCCAGGAACGTCTCCATTGTGACACTTGTTACTGTGTTTGGCAATCAAATACATCACAGGTAGCTTGCCAGGCTTTGCCGTGCGGGCAAGATACTCTTGGTAGCTTGCCAGGCATTCCGAGAGGGGCGGAGGAATTGAACCTGGGTCGGCCGGGTTGGCCTTGTGAAAGGCAAACACCCTACCCGCTCTGCTATTGCTCCAACCCAATCCAATCGCTATGTAAGATTAAATCTAAGCTCTCTACATTACCAAATTGATGGTTTTTATTTGTGAGGTTGATATGAATCATTGCAGCACTAGAATCTAGAGTGTAATTAAGAAGATAAACGGGGTCCTGAGTCCCATATCACTGGCATTGGATTGGGAAGACAGATTTTAAATAAACAGTAAGATTGTGTAGGTGGTTTTGAAGGGTCTGATTGGGAATGACAGGGAAGCAGGTACTTACGCTGTCAGAACAAACCTGTCTGAGGAAGTGATGTTGAGAAGGGGACACTTGAGGCCATAGGATTTGAGAGAAAGCCTACCTGTACTTACAGAAATAGCCTCGGTGAGTAGGAGCTCCGATGCAGTTTCCTGCACAGTTTGGCAATTTGGAACACAATCAGAGTTTTCCCATTTCTGAAACTTTAACTTTCTGTACTTTTCTATGAGCCTCAATTTTTTTCACCCATATCAATTATCTCATCGTTCTTTTCTGATTCTCTTGTATGCTCGTCTTCTTCACAGACTTGTCGTCCGCCCCCGTTTGTGATTCTGTGGTCTTTGTGTCCATTCTCAATCTTCCCTTTCATTGTTTCTATCCCTCCTTCCTGTTCCTCTGACCAGCGGCTCACCCAACAAACCGTGCAATTATTCCCCCTTCTAATCGCCTTTGTTCTCAAGCCTTACCTGAGATTTTTCTCGGCTTACTCATTTTTCAGCCAAATACTTATCCTTAACATGGCAAGCAGCTTCTGAAACCTCCATTGAAAAAGAACATTTGCGAACTGCTTTGACTGGATCTGGCTACCATGAAATCTAGCACCTAAGCTCTCAGGACATAGTTGATTGAGTGAATGAACTGCTGCTCCTGATATGGACTAGCAGGTTAAAGTGCTTTCCATAAGCATCTGTATTCTCTTTCGTCACATGTAGAACACATTTTTTTTAAAGTTTACTCTCAGAGAAGGAGCACCAATAAAGGGTGTTGGGAGGATCCTCCCAGGATGGGAGAAGCATGCTGAAAGTAGACTATAGACCGAACACGATTGCCACCCAATGCCTCTTTGGCAAACCACAGCACCCAGAAGGAGAGAGAGAACAAAGGGGAATGCCCTGCCACAGGGGTGAGGTGGGATGGGGGGTGGGGGGATGGGAGGGCTACTGGGATACGTGGTGGTGGGAAATGGGCACTGGTGGAGGGATGGGTATTTGATCATTTTGTAATTGAAACCCAAGCACAAAAATTTGTAAGTCTACAACTGTACCTCATGGTGTTTCACTAATAAAAACTTAAATAAATAAATGAAATGAAAAGGATAAACTACTTTTAGAAAATTAAAATGCTAATTCTATAATTTAAAATAAAGTTAAATCTCAGATATAAAAGAGAAATTCTACCTCTAATTTTTTATTATTATTTTTTTATATCACCGTGAGATAGTTACAGACTTTCATGATTAAGTTTCAGTCATACAATGATCCAGCACCCAACCCTCCTTTTTCCTCCAGTGGAAAAGTGCACATTTTCCACTGCCAATGTTTTTAGTATCCCTCCCGCCACCCCCACCCCATTTCAGCCCCTGCCTCTGTGGCAGACACCTTCCTGCTTACCCTACTTTGGGGCATTATGGTTTGCAATGCAGATACTGAAAGGCCATCATGTTTGGTCCTTAGTCTACTTTCAGCACTCATCTCCCATCCCCAGCGATCCCTCCAAGCACTACCGTTCTTAATAACCTCTAAATTTTTTTCTTTTTTTTTTTTTGCTTTTTGGGTCACATCCGGCGATGCACAGGGGTTCCTCCTGGCTCGTGCACTCAGGGAATTACTCCTGGCGGTGCTCGCGGGACCATCTGGGTCCAGATCCTGCTTAGTCTGCTTTGCCACTGGCACACAGCAGTTCACGTGCAAAGAGTAATTTTGTTTTACAACCAACAGTCTTTCCGATTTCCCACACACACACACCTCTGCCTTTCCCCCTCACCTCCCTGCTCCTTCCCTCTCCCGTCTCTGCTCTCTTTCCCCTCTTCTCCCTGACTTTCCCCTCCCTGGCCTTTCTTCTCTGCCTTCTCTTCCCTTTCCTCTCTTCTCTCCTCTTTATTCCCTCCCACCTCGGCTCTCCTTTCCACTTCCCGTCTCTCCCCTACCATCCCCTTTCTCTTCCCCTTGCCTTCCCTTGTCACTCTCTATGGGAGGAATGGGGGGACATGGGGGACATCTGCTTGTAGGACACTGCACTGGCCGCTGGGGGGTTGCCCTTTTCTGTGTTCTGTAAGAAGGCTCTGCGCCCTCTCCCACTCTCACTCTGCAAATGTCCTATTCCCATTTCCAGCGAACCCGCCCCAACCCCCACCCACCTGTGGGTCAGTCCGAAAGCCTGGTCAGTCCTGGCTGAGTCATTGTCGTCTGTGATGGAGGTGGGCAGTTTGCAGAAGGCATTTGTGTTTTGTAATAAAGATAAGCTGGGTTGCCTGAAAAAAAATTGAATGTTTATTTCCTATTATTCTCCTCTCTATTGTTCCTTTTCTATTTCTTTTCTTCTTCATACTTGGAGTGAACCAAGACCTAATATGTACACAAAGCCTTCTTTGCTTCTGAGCTAAGTCCCTACTACCTGAGCTCTAATTTGTTTTGATACTCAGCATTTTAAATAATCAGTTGAAATCAGATTAAGCTGAAGCTATGTAAAGAGATCTTTCTGTTAAGACCATTGCCATATTTTTATGGTTAAGTGGTAATTGAAAGTAGTGTTTCTTTTGAAGAAAATTTTCAGATACATACAGAGGTTGGTGTTAGCCACTTTGTGTGATATTATTGAACAACAATGACATTGATAATTTAGGCTCAAGCAACTTCCAGAGATTTTCCAAAACCATTTGGGTGTGATATTATTGAACAACAATGACATTGATAATTTAGGCTCAAGCAACTGAATATTTGCTTATAATAGGTATGAAGTAGATCTACATCACTGCCAAGATCCAATACATAATTGGATCAGTTAAAACAAAAATCTTACTATGTTGCTTCATTTAGAAATAATTTATAAATGACCCATTAGCTTTGAACATTCTCTTTATAGTTCTGAAAGGTTCAAATAATACCAGAAATGGTTTAAAATTTGCCATCTTGTTGTTTAAATTACAGCCTTGAACTCGAGGAATCCTATATGAGTTGCTTTTTATTTAGATTAGTATAAAAAGTCTGACCCATGTGATCAGGAACAACTTCAAGATAATTTGTTATTTATGATTTTATATTTGGTGGCCATCAGATGTAACTATAAAGTAATGGGACCTTCTTTGAAACAAACATAGTAGGAGTGTTATATCAAGGAGATCCTGTCCCCTTCAAAGCGGTCACCTAGGAATGCTGCACATTTGTTCCAGTAATGCTGCCAGTGCTTAAAATATTGTGGAATGCCTCTTTTTAAAGTATCTCTGAACTGCTAAGAAATAACAAAGAATAAACTGACATGCTGTGGTAAATATCCTGAATTGTGTCAGAGATGCACTCCATTGTGGTGTGAAGTCAGAAATCATCCCAGAAACAAGTGCAGTGAATAAATTTGGGATGTTGTTTAGAATAATAATTAGACATAGAATATCAAGACAGACTTTCTTGAGTGATACCCAAAATAACGCCTGAAATTGGTCTTCAAAGAGGAATTCCAGAACCTTGGAATAAATGTATAAGCTCCCAAGGTAGCTACTATGAAGAACAATACGTGTTTAGGTTTAAAAAATGTGTGTATGTTTGCAAAATAAGATCAGTTTTATTACTTTATAGACATACCTTGTAGATGAAAAAAATACTCCTATCATGGAACTCTTTATAAGCAAACTTCCGAATGTAAGTAGAATTTCTGTCTCACCTTTTTTAAGCCTGTTGAGAAATCTGCATTTCTGATAATGACTTACTCTGAATCTGCAGCTTTAAAAATATTAATGTCTAGAGAATGGATGCATCTAGGTTTCACTTTTATACTTTCTTAATTAGCTTTGTTACCTGTGTTGTTGAATATTTTATTTAGTGTGTCCACCTTTGTTTATTTCAAAATGTATTTTCTCACTGGTATAATCCCATCAGTCAGTCTCTTGAACCTAGATCAGAAATTAAGTCTAAGGTGAAGGCTATTGTTTTATATTACTTTACACTCATTTTTTTGTTTGCAAGAGTAGTGATCCAATAGCTGCCTCTCATGTTGAGACCCTATTAAAAATGATGAGGGGTTTCAAATGAAATCTTTTGTAAAAACAGCAGCCCTCAACATTGGGGTTCCTGTTATACTCTTTGTACAAGTGAGGTCTTGGAGGCCAGTTTGACCAAGAGGTTGAACCATATTCCTCTATTTATTAAGTACCAGGTAGACTCATGGGGCCGTGCATGAGGGCTGGCGCTAAGAGTGTCCTCCTTCATCAGGCTTTTCCAAATTTATTCCAACACATCCATCTTCATCAAGGCCATCAGCTCCCGATTTCTTTACAGTTAACTTGAAATGAGACAAAGTAAAATGGAGCATAGAAGGCAGAGAAAATTGTAACCCTTTGCAAAGAAGCTAAGACAGCTAAATTGTGACATAATTTAAGCTGTTCAGATTCGACAAGTGTGATTAGAAAATTATGTGGCCTCTGTAGGTAGAGATCAAAATGGTCACTAGTTTACAGTTTTAAAAGTCATAATGTGGTATTTTTACAGCAGGCTGATAAAGGATTTTAATCTCCCTGGTTGTAACGGTTGCACAAATGACTGTTGTTTTGCAGTTTGGTGATTTAAATGCTGTGTCTCCTGGAAATCTGGATAAAGGTAAGAATTGAAAATAATGTACATTTTTAAGGACTTTTCTGACAGATAAATTCTAATTGAGGGGAGAAATGTAGTGTATATTCACAGAACCCTTATTTTGTGGAAATAGCATACAATTTAGGACGAGTGTGACAGTTATGTCTTCTGGAATCCTTCATTATTTCTCCATTTCTGTAACTTCTTTAGTGAGGAATATTAAATGCAAGAAATGAATTTAAATGTAATTACAAACTCTTTCTACTTTTTGCCTTAACTTCATTACAAGTAGCAAGAAATTATTTCTGACAGTCTCCAGAGTCCTAAAGAAAATGATAGAATTGGTCGCAGTATTTTTATTCAAGACTCACCAGGCATGAGAAAAGACTTTTCAGTCTTCTCATATCACCATTTCACACTTTTCAGTGGAAAAGAAAGCTCAGAATACATTGGAATTCACCATACTAGCAGGAGCAGTAATGGGTATAGGTTTAAAAGATAACATGCATGCTTTTTAATTGTAATAGCATCATTGAATTTCTACGATGGCCATGTGAGAGATACTGCTTAAGAAACCCAGTACTGGGCCAGAGAAATAGTCCTATGGGTAGGGGTTTTGCCTGACAAGCCCTACATCCCCAGGTTTGATCCCTGCCACCACAGACTATCCGCTGAGCATAGCCAGATGTGACCCCCAAAAAGAATATCAGGATCTACAAAACCATATGGGAATAGGAACAGGGCTTGTGGGGAAAATGAATTTGAAATAGTGCATGTACAAACAGAATCAATCCTGATGAAAGTACCAGGTAATATTAAAAATAAGACAAAAATAAGAAATGTAGTTTCAATTTAAAAAAAACCTGCAGACTGGGGCTGGAGCGATAGTACCGCGGGTAGGGCGTTTGCCTTGCACATAGCCAACCCGGGTTCGATTCCTGGCATCCCATATCGTCCCCTGAGCACTGCCAGGAGTAATTCCTGAGTGCAAACCCAGGAGTAACCCCTGTGCATCGCCTAAAAGCAGAAAATTAATAAATTAAGAAAAATTTTTAAAAACCTGCAGAAAATACAGGTCTTTAAAATGGAACTGCACGTATTTTGAGGTTTTAAGTAAGTAAATTCAGGACACAGGTACAAAAGGCACAAAAATTGAAAATTAATAATTAGCCCTTCCAAAGCAGCGCCAGAGTCAGTGGGGAAATTCCAGGAACAAATGAGGCTGAGGAGGGACTTGGGGAATTTGCACATGAAAAACCGCACCATTCTCTGGAGTCCTTGACTAGTGTTGCCTGGTGTTCAGCTTCTCTTCCTCCTGGGTGGGGGAAAGACATTAGTATGCGGGGGAAGTCGTTCAGAATCAATACCACTCCCACAGACTCCACCAGACACTGTTTACCAACTGTGCATGGGTTAGTTTCTGCTTTAGTAATGTGCATAGGAACAAAGCAACACAGGTGGAAAATTATAGCCCCCAAATTTGGTCACTGCAAATATATACTCTGGAATTAGCAGTCTAACCTTCAGAAAAGCAAATCATTTCTATTAACTTGTACTTTCCGAGCAGGAAAGGTGACAGTTGAAATCCAGGTTGACATAAAGCAGCTTGAATGAGGCACTGATACCAAAGTCTCCTAACCTACTTTTGGGAACTTTCTCGCTGGGGGCCAGAATGCAGCAGGAGTGTTGCTACTTGGCCAAAGGCTGACTGGCATTCTCCTTGACTGCCAGTCAGTGCTGGTCTCCAGGAAATTCACTAACACCTAATTTTAGGTTTTGTATGCCAGGTTTACGGAAGTTTGAATAAATTCCTGGAACGTGTCTTTGAGTTTTGATTAAAAGTGCAAATGTAGATGGAATGGATCCAGTTGTCCACTGGACATGGAAAAGGACTTGTGCATTGCTTGGTGGTCCACGTTTATTCTGCCTACCATCGCATTGCCATTTTCATCGATAGTCGGGCAGGTCGAAGGACATTCCGGAATCTTTCAATAGGTGTCCAGAAGACCCGGGGATCCCTCCAAGTGATTCTCAGCCCACTAGGCAGGTGGTTCACCATGAGGGCCCGTGGATGTGGTGTCAGGGGATCAAACCAGGGTCAGCTACATGCGAGGCAGGCACCTTAACTCCTGTGCTATCTCTTGGCCCATTAAAATGGTTCTTTCCTGGGGCCAGAGAGATTGTACGGCATTTGTCTTACACACAGCCAACCTGGGTTCAATCCCCAGCATCCCATATGGTCCCCCACGCACAGCCAGGAGTAATTCCTGAGTGCAGAGCCAGGAGTAACCCCTGAGTATCGCTGGGTGTGACCCAGAAAGCAAAAATAAATAAGTAAATAAAGTAGCTGCTCTGAAAATAGAGCAAAAGGTTCTTTCCTTTCAGCGTTACCCCGTATTATTGTGTATTAGACCCCAGGAGCAGGAAAGTTGGTGGCGGGAACAAAGAAGCCGTCCCGTTTGTCCGTGAAAGTGATGGTTTCTTGAGACGACTAAGCTGGCATATTCAGATCCGAAAACTGGAATAGCCAAGATTTTTTTTTGTGGCCTCTTGAGTATTTTAATTTTTTCTGATTGAAAAATAAAGAGAATCTTGCTCCATACTAAAGCTTTGAGAACATTGTCTTTGGCTGTTTTAATAGTGCATACTGGAAAAATAAAAGTTTTTTATTTTTATTTATTTATTTATTCTTTTTGGGTCACACCCGACGATGCTCAGGGGTTACTCCTGGCTCACGCACTCAGGAATTGCTCCTGGCAGTGCTCGAGGGACCATATGGGGTGCTGGGAATCGAACCTGTGTTGGCCATGTTGGTTGCGTGCAAGGCCTTACCCGCTGTGCTATCGCTCCAGCCCCAATAAGAGTTTTTTAGATGATGAAATTGTAGATCATGTTTTATTATTACAATGTTTTTGTTCATAGAATATACAGAACCTTGGCGGTAATCTTGACTTTTTAATATGTTTAATGTACAGAAATGAATTTCAGCTATATAAAATCTTTAGGAAAATACATGGATCTTCAAAGAACTGTTAAAGGTATCAATCAAAAATTAGCCAAAAATAAATTACTTTTGCTGTGTTTTTAAAGAACTGATCTAAGTAAAATGAGGTAAGAGAAAACCTAGAAGCTTTGTCCCTTAGCAAAAGCTTTGTCCTGTTGTCCCTTAGTAGAATAAGGTTACTTTCTACTTGTTTGGGAGCGACATTGAGCAATGCTTAGGACTTACTCCTGGCTCAGTGCTGGGGGTCACTCCCCAGGGACGCACAGGGGACCCTGGGATGCCAGAACTGAACCTGGGCTTTCAAGCACCAAACACATGCTTCTGTCTTTTGAGCAATCCCTCTGGCCCCAAGAAGTTGCTTTCTTATGATACTGCCTTAAGGTATTACCAAAGCGCACACTGATTCCTGTGTTCCCGTCTTCCTCTGGTGACTGTTTCAGTATTATTTATTTGCGCAGATGAAGGCAGTGAAGTGGAAAGTGAAATGGATGAAGAACTAGATGACTCTTCAGAACCTCAAGCCAAAAGAGAGAAAACTGAGCTGAACCAGGCATTTCCCGTGGGCTGCATGCAGCCTGTCTTGGAGAGTGGTGTGCAGCCAAGCCTCCTGAATCCAATCCACAGTGAGCACATCGTTACGAGTACTCAGACTATCAGACAGTGCAGTGCTACAGGAAACACCTATACTGCAGTCTAAAGAATATTAAAGCGTATTTTTCCAGCTAACATTACCCTGTTGATATTGGGCTTAAGTTGAAAATTTAATAAGCCTGAAGGTCGACTGTTGTCAAATTCTATCTGTGCTGAACATTACTTTTTGGAGTTGTGAAATGGAATGGGTGTATGTATTTTGCCAGACTTTTTTTTTAATGTAAACAAATTATTTGCCTCTTAATAAGAGTTTTTCCCCCTTAGTTTCAAGTGTCAAGGAGGATTTTTACAACACTTAATGTCTATGTTTTTGTTTTCTTATAATTAAAAAGTAATTTACATTTTTGTAGCTTAAACTATTTTATTGTTGATTGTTAGTCTTGGTGTATGATTTCATGTATAAGTTTTTAATTAGATGCACTTCTGTGAAATATCAAAAGAAATGAATTTCTTTGATTTACACTGGAGGCATGCCCGTTTGCCAGCAGATGCATCAAATTTCCTTTGAAAGGTGCTTTTCATTGGACACAACCAAAAGACACTATTTTGATCCATTTTGGAGTGTGGAGAGAGAATACAGAACATTTTTATTATAATGCGAGAGGTTTGGGAAGGTCATCTGTTTTTCTCTGGAGAAAAATTGAGCCATGCATTTATTAGTTCAGAGTAAATGGCAAAATTGCAAGAGATTATGCTAATATGTACATAATTTGTGTACATAATTATCAGACCACGTTAATGCAAGCTTCCGTTAAACATTGAATTTTAACTGTTATCTGCATCCCAATTCCTCTGTTTAAAGACTACTGATTCTGTATTTGGGACCACTGCACAGATGCATTCTGCTGTTGAGTGGGGCTGTTATAGTTAGAAACTGAAGCTGAAAAAATGACTTGACTTTTTTTTTTTTTAAGTGTACATGCTACTTATGCTGAGCTGGACATACAGGAAACCATTCCATTTGAATGACTTTCTTTTATTCCAGGTCGTTTTCCTAATAGTAGTTCAACATGCTGCTATTATATAAAAAAAAATTATAGAATGCAAGGAATGTAGCAACCTGCATATCATTATTTCCTTCAAAAATATTTCCTGGTTTCTAAAGTATGTGGATTTAAATTTTAAACAGAACCTGAAGGCAGTGTAACTGGCACGCCACACGGTTGCTTATCCCCAATTCTGTAGGATCTGGATAAGTGACCGAATGGACCAGTGCCATTGAAGAATGTACATCAGGGATCATCGTACCTCGGCTATTACATGGTGCCTTAAAACAGAACTGAAGCTAAGGTTTAGTAAGGCTTATTTTGTTCATGTGAATTCCTCTTCAATCCATTTGATAAGGAGTGCCTGTCGTTTTCAGACTCCCAAAGTAAAGACAGGCCACCTGTTCTTCAAAGGAAATTTAAGGAAAACAAAGCAAAACAGCAACAACAAAAAATTTCAAAACCCAGTTCCCCTCTTTGAGTGACCATGAACCTTCATTTTCTTCTTAGAGCTGATAATACTTGATTGCAGACCAGATTGCTTAAGGGTGTGGCTAGTTTTAATTACCAACTTGATACATCAAAATCATCACTGTTTTAGATTTTCCTTATCGAATTATAATTTAAGGAAGTTAGCAAAATAAGCAGGTACTTATCGAAGTGCATCTTTTCAGTCTGCATGTTTGTCTGTGCGTCTCAGTGTCTACGTCCTGGAGCACACGCCAGTGCCTGTGGGCAAAAATTCAGCTATCAAATAGGAAGGTGAGACCCTAGCGAGGATACACCCACCCCCTTTTTTGATTCACACGACAAGGCAAGGCAAGGCTCTTTTAAGCACTCAAATTACTATAAAGAAAAAGAAAAAAGAAAACCAGGCACATCCATTCAGTTAAAGCATGGAGGATACAAATAAACAGGAGAACAAATGAATGCATAAATAAAGCCAAAAGAAGGGAAAGCACAAAATGATTTACAGATTATCAATGAGGCCTATATTAAACTCGAGATATTTTATCTTTCAGTTTTCCGGGGGAGTGGGGTGGAGGGAGGCGGCAGGGGAGGGGCTGGAAAGAAGAGGGTGAGCCAAGTCAAAAAACACCAAATGGCTTTTTGGGTGGCCGACAGTGCGTTCCAGCTGTTGTTGCTCAATTGCCTTAGGCTACTCAGATGACGAAGACCAACAAAGTTTCTTAGATGAACTTCAAATGTTTTAGATGTAATTTTCTAACCGATTCAGATACTGTATTATGCATTCATATATTTCAGAGTCTCCACCAGCATCCTAGCCTCACCTTCATCTAAATATAATTTAAATCACCATCCCCTGTCTTCCTCCCCGAAAGGCAATGAATTTGCACCCTAACACGCTCACACATGATAAACAGATAGAATATCTTAAGCTGCAAGACCATGAGTCTACTTATTTGTGCATTAGCAAATTTTTACAGGTAAAATTTAGGGGGGGAAAAAGCACTCTCCATTTCAACTCTGAATTTTTTTACTTTCCTAGTGCTATCCACAACTCCCAGGACTATATTTCTATGTATCAGACCAAATGTATTTACCTGTTTTATCTTGTTTATTGAAGATTTTAAATGTATTTTTTCATCATTGTTTAATGTCGGAAGTATTTGTATCATTAGAGGAATCTGATAATAATGGGTAAATTTCAGTTGATGGAAATTAGGATTGGGGACCCTCCAGGATTCAGCATTTCTTCCAATTGTTCATGGTTTCTTCTAAATGAGAAGATATTAGGAATTAATAAATATTAAATTTCAATGTGACTCACTAAAAATACCTCCTTATGAACAAATTAGGAATGTTAAATCTTTGTCAGTGGTGTGGATTGTTCTGACCAGTAGACAAAAATCACGTATATATGATTCATGCTCTTCCAGTTATTCTCAGTCCACATATGCAATCACACATAAACATCTCAGCCAACTTCAAATTGGAATTTTGAAATATGTTAGAAAATTAAAATATCATAATTTATAGATTTGAGCAAAGGGGGCAATCTCATTTATTGCCCTGATCGAGCATTTTATTTCCATTTTTTCCTTCACTGAGAGTGACTTTTCTAAATGATAAGCACTAATGCTCTGAGTTATTTATTAACATGTAATAAGTAGTTACATTTTACAGACTTTTTTCATTTCTCGGCATTTCAGTTCAACATGACATAAAATAGCTACTTGGACTAAATGCTGCACTTCTCCTCGTGGGAGAACTGTAAGGATGATTTGTTGCCTACATTTGCTTGTCAGAAAAGGTATTTTCAAACAACAGGATTGAATGCCATGGTAATCATTGGATCTTTGCATGTAGTTTGAGAATCAGACCCAGAATCATTACATTCTTGAAGCCAGTGAACAATGGAGTGAAATGGGTGAAACGACCTTCTTGATAAACAGGGGCCCATCTTTTAATTTTTTCTTTGAGTATCAAGTTGCTGGTCACTTTTTCAGGATATCATCCAAACAATGTTTGGACCAACTGTATAAGTCTTACTGCCTTTTCAGAAATCTGCTTTCCTTTTTTGTGCTTTTTCCTGTACTGTATAGCACGGTTCATGCACCTCTTTTTAGATGGTGTCCTTTAAAAATGAAAGTAAATTTTAGAAAACGGTTTTCACACTGCATACCTAAAATGAGTACTGTGCGACATTGACTGCCTTTGATTTGTAGTAACTGAGCAAAACTGAACACATTCTTGTAGAATGCTGTAAGTCATTCAGAAAACGAGTACAGTTTTCCTTACTGTAATCATGAACTTTTTTAGTGCTGAACGCAATGCATTTTCAAATTTAAAAGATTCTTCAGATGATATATTTGAGATGTTTAAAATAATGCTGTGCTTAAAATATTTAGTGTAAAAAAAAATGTGTGTCACTGTGAGTGGTTCCTCCCTGTTGGACGCAGGTAGAAAGTAAAGAACTCTGGCGAGTCACCTTTGTGTACAATTTGAGGCAGTGGTTATATTCAGCAAATTGACCTTTGCTATAAACTCTCTTCCCCCAAATTCTTGGTGAGAAAATAATAACCTTTCAAAAAGTCGAGATCGGAATTGAGGATTTGTGAATCACACCAGAACATGGGGGACAGGGGTTGACATGCAGTGCTATTACAAATTGGGCTTGTCACTAGAGCGGAATGACCTCCATGTATAGGGTTACAACAGATCAATGAAAGGAATCCTAGTATTTCTGCGGGTTTGGTGATTTACTGAAAGAAAAAATAAAACTGGAATAGAAGCATCAATTCAGTGCTTAGTTCTACTATTAGAAAACCCCTTTGATGTAATGCCTTGTATTAACCCTTTGAGCATTGTAAGATATACAGTGGGGGACAAAAGCCTTTCAGATCGTTTATTTAGACTTAGACCGGTAAAGTATACTCTATATCCAAATGTCTAATTATGCTGTTTTTTTAAAGGGGGGTTAGGAAGAGAAAGTGTTTCCACGCTGAACACTTACATTTTATATACAATTCTTAATTTTCTTCAAGAGGGCTTGATATATTTATTCCCAAATATTCACTGCCATCTAAGTGTACTGTTTACAGAAGAGAAAACAAAAATCACCTTTTCTAGCATCACATCGTAACTCTAGAAAAAGAGGACAAATCCGTAGGCCAGTAGGCCTATGTCATAACCGATCTCTGCACATTGAAAGTACCTAGATTGCCTTTAAAAGGTATGATTAAAAAAAGGGGGGGTTACATTTCTTTCTCTTTTTTTTCCAAAACCACACAAAAATCACATTTCTTTATTAGCTTTAGAAAGTACAGTTGTAAGTGAAGCCTTAGAAGAAACAAGTTCAAGTGGATCAAGAAAAGCTGAACTTCTTGAGGGCAGGTAGGCTATTTGGAATTAGATCTCTCAGAAAATATCGTTTGGGAATTTTGTACAGGGCATAATTTTATCTGTGCTCCAAAACTTTAATCCTCTGTCAGAAAGATTATATAGAGATAGAATGGAGAGCAGAGCACTTGAGCTTTGAGCTCATCTGTCAGGAGATGCTTTGATGCTGCTCCAGATACCCACAAATGCCAGTCTGCTTACACAATGGCTGACTTTGTTCAGTGGACAGTCTGCGTGTTCTTGACTCCCTTTGTCCCCTGTGTGATGGAAAATGAGAGCAGCGTCCTCTGCAGATGTACTTGTGCTGCCCGAGCTGGGCACCGTAAGAGTGTAACCTATTCCGATGTCTGACGGAAGGACATCCTTAGCATAGTGCAAGTTTGCCGTACACGTTGCTTTTTTAGGCAGTTTAGGAAGTCAAATCATGCAAATTACTCGTGTTAACATGCAATACTCAAAGGGTTTTAATTTAACTCTCTTCTTTTTTAATTCTTCATGATGATTTACTGTAAATGCTTCTCAGTTTGCATGCCTTGATCATTGCTGCTAGTGATTTTATGTGCCAGTAGACCTGAGTTTAGTTTACCAATTTTACTTAAATAGTAAAAGCCACTTACAAAGTGACTGCCTAGGATTTTTTTCTTTCATTTGAAGTAATTGGTAACGTGTCTTAATTTTTTTAATGTCTTTTGTCTCTTTGATTCTGATATCTGATTATTTTATCCCTATTTCCTTTTTTTTAAAAAAATAATGAATTATGATGTTGGGATTGGAAGCCCTGAGTAATGAAATCTTTGGTAAGAATTGTTTATGTAGCTCAATATGAGGACGACAAATCTTTGTTAGGAGAATTATGATTCTGGGGAGGGAAGAAAAAATAACTCCCATTGACTGTTAATAACCGAGTAAATTTTTCCTTCAATTAATTGTTTTGAACAAATGATCGCCTTGTTTTAACCTGCTAAACCCAATTTTTAAATGACCTAATAAAGGAGGTATTGAATTTTATTCGTTTAAAAAGCATCTTTTGTACCAAAGCAAATTCTTTTCTCTACTCATCTCCATCATCGATTGGGACTAATGGTGGTGACCAGCGCATTGGTTGCAGAAACTTTAAGTGAGTGCCTTGAGAAAACTTGGAAATTTGTGCCTGGGGTGGTAAACTTTTAATTAGGTTAATTGTAGTGCTTACCAATCAGTAATTCTACTATCACTCAGGGCTTTCGTACCTTCTAGGTAAAACTTCTTTCATTGTGTTTTTTTAAGATACTGTATTTTTTTTTTAAGTGCCATCATTTAAATTTCACTTAGTAAGTGGCAGATTACATTATTCAGTCCCACAAGCACAGAAACATAGTAACACTAGGAGATATTTGAACATTTATTTTACAATCGACTGAATATATTATGTAAATGAGGTAAGCAACTTTTGTAGAGATTGTATGTGTGAGATAATGTAATGTTCTTTTCCAGTTTTTGGACTCCAGTTGAATAAAATTTTTAATTATTTAAAAACATCTTTACCGAATAACATGTGATGGTTTTTTGTATAATGTATTTGATTTTGTAAATACGTATTTCCGATGTGATTTTTGTGAGAAATGCTAAATCTTTTAGTATATCATGTCCTCTCAAAATTGGCAAGAGCTAAATAATAGTTTGTGGGCGATTTGTATTGTGTACTTGTACAATAACTGGGGAACTTTTATAATTATAAAAATATATATTAACTTTTAGTGTGTTGTTTAAACAAATGACTGGAACATACTAAAGATATTAGTAGGATTTTTCTGAATATTTCAGACTTGAACTCAGGCTAGCT